GCGCTAGCGATCCGAAATCTCTTCCACCTGCACTATTTAAACATGGTGGTGAAGTCCCATGTGAAACACAGACTTCCCTGAAAGAAGCGACCAATGCTACAATTTGGGGCTAGTTAACCATTGTCACATTGGACTAACAGGATAGTTGTACCGTCTGTACTGTCCGCAGGGTTATCAAACGGCCTTGGTAGTATTGGCAGTCTCAGTGATCACAATTCCCATCCGTCGATTTACTGAGGAAATGCCATCCTTGATAAATGAAACGCTGGTCAGTTTCGCCGAAGACGCGTTTTGGATTGACCAAATATTCACTCTACGGCAAGCCCTAGAAAACGTGCGACGTACCTCCGACCGTTAGTATCCGTGTTCCTCGATTTCAAGGATGCGTTCGCCTCAATCGGCTGATATATTCCATTTGATCTATGTTGCAACGCTGACCACCTGCGCCCTCTTGTCGCTCCATATCCCAGCGGAAGGACCAAAAATGTCCTTTCCTCCACTTTTGTTTGTAGAAGCGTGACACTCTACCTTTAGCAGGTTTTTTTTTGCATCGACTGGCATCCGGGAACACTTGTTAGAGGGCATAGTTCCCCAGTGGCTTGGGAGAGCAGCTCGCGTTGCATTTGCAGCGATGTCACATGTAACAACTATGAGCTGGCTCTTGCTGCTGCCCAGTGTAATGTCAACAATAATGCGACATGCGATTTCTTAGGTAACCTTTATCACATGTCGTGTTCCCTACGCTTTATCAAGCAAATTCGGGCACAGTCAGCGGGCCAGATGAACAGACTCGCACGCCGAATCCGACCCGCTTGCACTTAGACGCATCAAGGGATCTAGATGAGGACCAGTCCACCGGATATCCTAATCCACGTTGAAGCGTTGAGGAATCCTGAATAATGAGGGACATACATCCCAGCACAACCTTGTCAGCCTGTTTGCATCCTGTAAACGTGGTTTGTACAGTGAGACGTTCGACATTTTAGAAAAATAGCAAATGTGATGGAATGTCTTGCAGAACACCACAGTCGGACAGGATTTATTACCGTGGTGAAGTGCGTACGATTCTTACTATAGGCACGCAACAGATTACACACACTCGTACGAACTCCTTTTTTGTATAGCAGGTTGAGCAACATTGACCTATGCAGGCTTTCAAAGGCATTCGAATAGTGAAAGAGGAGAAGCCGTACTGGTGTACATTTTTGGTCTAGTGCAGGCGCTATAAACTGAACAAGATATGCCATTGTATACAATGTACAGCAGTGGGTCCTATATGCAAACTCATAAATTTCGTCAGCAGAGGTGGCTGTGAATATCCGCGGAATTGTGTCTTTTTATACTTTCAGAAGCACAGGTGTATACGCAATCGGGCGATACTTTTGAGTGTTGGGATTATTCTGGCTGATCTCCTAATGTCTGGGATTCCACCCATAGGGAGACATGTGTTAAGGAGACCTGTTAAGAGTAGCATGAGGGAATCAATACACTCTCTCAAAGTAAATGGTGAGAGAGCATTCGGACCCATAAGTTTGTTTGACTTTACTTTTTTTAATTTCCTTGTGAACATCACTTTGGTTGCAGGGCTCAACTGCACTTAAGTTAATGAAGGCAAGCAAAGGTGATGTACTGGGTGAGTGGATAACAAAATCCGTATTCAGAGTTTATCCACATCCGTTTCACCGCTCCGGCTTCAGGCACTCTTACCACAGAGCTCTGACTCAAACGCCTCCATCGATCACGACAGTTATGCTTGACTAGAACCGTTTCGAAGTGCAAGTTCTTTAGCATTTTTACCTCAGATTTAATTGCCGGTTAGGCGTTTGACATCTTGCGTTTATAAGCCTTCCCTTACAACTCGTTTTAGCAGTAGTGATAAAAATCTATCCAGCCTTAGGTAGATCGTTTTAACAGGGCAACACACGAGAAAGAAATATTTAATGTAATCACATTGAATCGGCGGAGTCGCCTTGTTAAAGACCGAAAAATCATTGAAGGAAAACATCGATTGGAGCCTTGTTCTATTTTCAAGAGAGCAATTTCGATGTTTAAATAGTCTTGTAAGGATGTCTGGTCAGGAGACAAAATTAGCTTTACTGTATATGACTTGACATAGATTAAAAAGACTGGTCTGAGCTGTTTTACATTGAAAACAGTTATACTTTGTTCGCGTAAACTATCCAACTGGGTATCTTGTCTGGTCGAAAATGTCAGTAGATCTACAAAGCCAAGTGTCCTCAGGAATCTTGTATCCATTTTATTAAAGTCAGCAGGGACAATGCAGAAAGAACGATCTTGTTTCAGCAGTGACATTGAAGAAACTTGGTTCTCAAAATGCTTCAACTCTGATGCAGATGTGTCAGGAGTAATGTAGACGTTTTCAGCAATGGCCGATTGAAAGCCATTTAAGAACTTCGGTTTGCATTCAATTAACTGGCAGCTTATGGAAGTCGTTGAGTATGTGAATATTACGGTCACTTAGTTGCATCAACGCTGAGTAATGTAAGTTAGAACGCCACACCACCACTAAACTGGGACTTTTCTTGTAAGGATGTCTGGTCAGGATACAAAATTAGCTTTACTGTATATGACTTGACAGATTAAACAGACTGGTCTGACTTGTTTAAAGTAGTCTGTTTTACATTGAAAACAGTTATACTTTGTTCACGTAAGATATCCAACTGCGTATCTTGTCTGGTCGAAAATGTCAGTAGATCTACAAAGCCAAGTGTTCTCAGGAATGTTGTATCCATTTTATAAAAGTCACTAGGGACAATGCAGAAAGAAAGATCTTGTTTCGGCAGTGACATTGAAGAAATTTGGTTCCCAAAATGCTTCAATTCTGATGCAGATGTGTCAGGAGTAATGTAGACGTTTTCAGCAATAACCACTTGGAAGCCATGTAAGAACTTCGGTTTGCATTCACTTAACTGGCAGCTTAGTCGCATCAACGCTGAGTAACGTAAGTTAGAACGCCACACCACCACGAAACTGGGACTTTCCAGGGTGATCAAACCTGCTGGGAAAATTACCATCAAGTTAAATAACCCGATTTTCCACATCTGTCTGCAACCAACTTCCTTGTAACAGAATGCTTCCTGCATTTACATATTCTTCGCTGCGTAAGAACATTGATTAAAGAATTTTACCCAGAATCTAGCTCCCGTTACTGGAAATTATCTATAGAACTTGCGTTATTTCTCGAAAGCGCTGCGAGTAAGGCCAGATTAGCAACCAGCAATATGGATTTGCTCGTTTCTACAATGTTTATTCATAATTCATTTGAAGACTTTACTGACCATAAATCGGAATACCTGTAGCTCGGGTGATCTGTTCAGATTTTGTTCTGTTCTCCGAGCTGAACAGTTTCGTTGCAAACGTTTCATCACCAATCGTGGTGACTTCTTCAGTGCGTAATAAGCAAACTGAGTTGTTTTGTTGACTCTTACCGACGAGCGAGTGACATTTGAACTTGCTCACTTCGATTCAGGTCCCAATGGAGCATTGTATGAATAAGTGAAAGAAGCCCCAATATCTGGACTGATTGCAGAAGTTGTCATGCAAACGTTAGAAGCAAATCTACTCCCTGCCATGAATCCGAAATTGTGGGTCAGATATGTTGACGACACGTTTGTCATACTCAAACGCAGCCAGTTGCAGACCGCACAAAGCCTGCTGAACGATGCAATGGACCGTATTCACTTCATTATGGAGCCAGAAATGGAGAACAAACTACCTTTCTTGGATGTATTGGTTACTAGAACAGCGGACGGAGAACTACAAACATCAGTTTACAGGAAAGACACACACAGATCAAATGTTAAATTTCAACAGCAACCATCCGAAATGTCACAAAATCAGCTGCATACGCACCTTGTTCCGCAGGATAGAATCACATTGTAATACTGCAGAAGCAAAACGCGAAGAAGAAAACCATTTGTTTACATCCTTCATGCGCAACGGATATCCACGCAGTTTCATCCGAAGATACATGAACCACAAGAGTTCAAACACCACACCTGAACCAACAACAACGAAACGGATCGCTTTACCATCAAGAACGTATCGGAACTGACTGCTAGACTCCTCAAGCCTCACCATCTGTTATTGGCTCACATACCCACCAACACTCTGAAAGGAACCCTGTCTAGACCGAAAGGGAAAACGAGAGCACACGAACGCCGGAACGTTATTTACAGGATACAGTGTAAAAATTGTGATAAGAACTATGTGGGCCAAACGGGAAGAAAATTGTCTACAAGGCTACAAGAACACAAACGAGCCTGTCGAAACCATTACCCATCATCCTTGGTCTCGACACACGTTGATGAAGAAGGGCACATATTTGATTGGGAGAAAACGGAGATACTAGCGCAAGGAGAGACCAAAAAAGGGAGAGAATTCCTCGAAGCCTGGTTTTCTACAGACAGTTCAATAAACCAACGCATCGACTTAGATCCGATATACGGGCAGCTGCGAAAAAAGAGTTTACGTGGATCATTTGGCACATGAGTCGAAAAGAGGCGGCGCTCGAACTCCGAACTAGCAATGGTCACGGGACCTGAATCGAAGTGAGCAAGTTCAAATGTCACTCGCTCGTCGGTAAGAGTCGACAAAACAACTCAGTTTGCTTATTACGCACTGAAGAAGTCACCACGATTGGTGATGAAACGTTTGCAACGAAACTGTTCAGCTCGGAGAACAGAACAAAATCTGAACTTTACTGACCATATTCGATAAAGCACAGATTTCGGGTAATAAAATTTAACGTTTCTGATATATTGACCTAGTAGGAACTCATTGACCTTGATACTAGTTCAGCAAAAGAATATATGTCCAAGTTGAAAATAACACGTAAAATCTGCAGTTGGCAACACAAAGAGTTTTCCTACACGAGCAGTAACGACCATATTTGCAAGTCTCATTTGTTCGCCGTACTATTTTATTATCGTACCGTGACTCATGATGGTGCACAACTTCTTTTGTATTTTTCTTTTTAGGTATTCGCCTCCAAAAGTTATGACTTCTACTCTTCAAACATCGAGGATTCCTCAGGACGCTCACATCACAGACCCGCCGCTGCCGCCGCCACCACCACAACCATCCAGCAGAATCTGCGACTGTTGACTTTGCGTTGACTTCAGTTCATTCCGTTGGTTTCCCAACGACGATCTCACCACCCTTCCCTCACTTTGGCGCATTTGCTGTTCGTGTCTACATACGATGTTTATCGTCCGGTCTTACCACCAAGGTTTCCGTTAGCCCTCTATATTTATCCGTTCGATACCAAGGTGTCTATCTGTTCGATATCACCCGCCTCCGGCCCAGTGCATTCAGTCCTTTCAGGTCCGCTTGTTGTGTATGTCTTCCAGTGACCATGTCTAGATGTGTTCTCTTTCACCCGCCTGACTGTCATCCAGTGCTTAGGAAAACTTGTAGTTTTGTTCTTTTATTGATTTTTCAATTTCTTTTTTGTTTTTCTCCGATGTTGAGTCGCCCACTTCTCATTCGCACCCGTCTCATTCCAAGTCCGCTTGGACTCCGAGTCCTCACTCCACCCGTCACCTATGTCTCACATGGTCTCCACTCATTTCTGTCTGTTAGCTGTCTTATAATGCATATATGATGATGATGTGAAATGGGACGTCTTCAGGCAGTTCTGATTGTGGTTTGGTTATTACGGTCCCCCAATTTTCGTAGTTCTTCGCGTGATGGTGCGGTTGTTCACTGACCATCCATGATCCATTGCACACGACTCTGAGTGGTAATTTCCGGCACCCTGCTCAGCCGCACTTATCTGAATTGCCGTGAAAACGGCCACCACACGCTCCCTCAGAGTGTAGCCTCGATTTGATTGACTCTGAACACAATCGCTACAGTCTACCTTTATCGGTTTTAGTGCATGTCTATCGCTTACAGGTTGGCCACCGTTAGTTTTAAGACAGGCAGCCCTTGACTACATAGGTACAAACTCTCCGGAATTCTTTAATTGGTACTAATCGAAATTTATCATCTTATGATATCGGATAACGGACGTTTACTGCACGAAGCCATCAAAGTCATCTGCGTGTTTCCGTGTTTTGTGGACTCTGTGGTCGAATTATTAATCTAGAGAGACCGGCTGTCTCATCACTTTGGATCCATCCTCTCGTTCAGAAGTCCAACGTGTGATCAGACTGTTGAAGTTGAACAAATCCACGAGACCAGATGCTCTTCCTCCAGCCCTCTTCAAATTCGGAGGCTCTGCTCTTGTTGATGTTTTACATGAATTACTGGTGAAACTGTGGGAGCAGGAGATTGTCCCAACCGACTGAGGCCGCTCCGTTATTGTTCCCATCTTCAAAGGAGGCTCGCGTTCGGAACCAGTCTGATCTCCGTCGCCTCCAAATTACTCGCCTCCATAATCCTTCACACACTGACTGGCCCTCGTGAAAGCCAGATTCGTGAGCAGCAAGCCGGGTTTCCTCGGGATCTCTCTCTCCATCCCTTTTAGCCTCCACTCCATCTACGATATTATTTCGTAGCGTAAAACGTACTAATTTTTCTATTTGCCTAGTAGCCGGCTGGTAGCTTACCGGAACGATGCTTATCTGTTGCGGTATACAACTGTTGTATTTATTTTCCTTTATGTATTGCGGCACAGTAGCGGAGGTGTTTCCCACTTTTAGCTGACGTGTATAATGATGATGGTGGTCATGTCTCATCACTCCGTTTATGATATAGGAAATGTCTATTATCCACATGCCTTGATCGAAAGGCCTGAGGTGGCAAATGCGAAAAGCCTAGTGATCCTTATCCTTCTACTTCTCAAACTGGCCAATGAGAAATCCCTAGGCGTCGCCAACTGTGGTCACCTTAGAAATACATCGCTTTTACAACCGATCATATGTCATAATTCACACTAGAAATCAGTTTGCTCTCTGTTTTCCCCTATTTGAACTTGGGCCTCGTGTTTCTAAGGTCACCGTACTATGTAGGAGTCTCGGAGTTGTTGAGTGCCGAGTCTAGGTTTCTTTTCTGATCATTACGCTCTTCGCGCGTATACAAATACCACTAATGTGTCAACCGTGCGCCGTAACGGCGCTTTGCTGCCGCGCGACCACCACCATTCGCGCGTGGGCTGAGTATACACTGTGGACGCCCGCCCCTACGCGGATTCGGACCGATGACCTTATGATTGCAAGCCATGCGTGCAGACCACTCGGCCACCGGCCGACATTCTAAGGTATTGTGTTGGTCGATGCTAAACTTATGAGCTTCCGCAGATAGTTATCTATGTGCTGTTGCTTGGGGACCTTAGCCTAATGTTTTGACCATTCCAAGCGGAAAACGATTTATTTCTCTCATTTCCACTTATAATCAGTCGTTGATCCTATCTACATGCCTCCAATTCTAATTTCTTTGGATTTACTTTTGTTATGAGTTGTGTGTGTATGAGGTTTGCAGCGCGAGCCACCCATGGTCCATCAGTATGCGCACGTGTCCTGCGGCTGTTCGCAATAGCCATGACGGGCAAATCTGGAATTCGATTCCCCTAGCCACAACGTGTCTCATTATCATCAGCAACACTAAACATTAGCTGTGGGTGAGTGTCACATTTCGGTCAATGTGCTGCACTACAAAATGTTAAGAGCTTCTGGTTTCAACTGTTCGCCGAGCTTCGCAATTGGTATGCAAACGTGTCATCACCACACGAGGTGACTTCCTCAGTGCGCTGCTGGGTCAAACGTAATCCGCTGACTTACTCGTCGATTTGCGATTGATTACCATGTGACAGTTAACAGAGCAGCTCAGCTTAGCAATATAACGCAGAGTGGAGAATACTAGGAGAAGAAAATAAGAGGCATTAAAGAACAAGTTTTTTTAAATTTACTCACGACATTAGCGAAGTTAATTACGAGGACTGGACCCGAAATCTATCCAATAGGCCACTATCCGAAGCAGAAAAACAAGTCCTCACTAAAGCGCTCAACTACAATTTATAGGATGCTATGACTACAGATTTCCTGTCCGGATTTGAAAGTACAATTCAGTCCAGTGGGCTTGATGATTATACGCAGAAACAGCTGAGAGCTACAATTATGCCAGTTGTAGCCCGTAGCAAACAGCATAATTCTCTAGCTCAACGGGAAATGAATGCGATAAAGGCCTTGAAAGCTGATGAATCCATTGTCATTTTACCTGTGGACAAGGGGCGCGTGACGGTTACATTGAATAAAACGGATTATGTCGAAAATGCAAAACTGCTTCTGAGCGACACAACAACCTACCGCCGCATCGAAAACAATCCAACAACGCAACTGGCAAACAGAATAAACAGAACGTTGAAATTACTCCAGGAACGGAAGCAGATCACAAAAGAAGATCGTGTCCGGATGATGGCCCGTGATCCGAACATAGCGCAATTCTACGGGCTTCCAAAAATACATAAAGACGGTGTACCGCTAAGACCAATCGTATCGCTCCCAGGTACACCTACGTACAATCTAGCAAGAGAGTTGTGGAGACGTCTCAAGCACCTAATAATTGGATCACAGCACTTTACATAGTGCACAATTTTTGGAGAGACCCAAAGGTATGAGACTAGATCATGACGAGATAATGGTGTCGTTCGACGTGCCCGCACTCTTTACGTCTGTCAACTTACAGACCGCAAAGCAAGTAATCATCGAACGGCTGGACCAAAGTGAGAAAACAATCGGAAAGCTGACGACTGAAAATCTGCAAGCTACTTGATCCATGCCTCGCGACCTACCTCGCTTTTGATGGACAGATCTATGAGCAAGTAAAAGGCGCCCCAATGGGATCCCCTGTGTCAGGACTCGTTGAAGAAATAGTAATGCAGAAACTTGAAAAGGATGTACTGCCCATAATCAACCCAAGGTTGTGGATCCGATAAGTCGATGATACATTCGTGATACTGAAACGTAGTCAAGTGGCGCCTGCATACGAGTTGCTTAATAACACCATCGAAGACATCCATTTTACGATGGAATCGGAGATAGAAGACCAACTCCCATTTTTGGATGTGTTAGTCACCAGGACGATTGACGGAGAGTTGCAAACATCGGTTTACAGGAAAGGAACACACCGACCAGATTCTAAACTACTACAGCAATCACCCGAAATGTCACAAAATAAGCTGCGTAGAATTGAAACACATTGCAGCACTCTTGAGGCGAAGCGGAAAGAAGAGCTATACCTGTTCAGATCATTTCACCTAAATGGATATCCACATAGCTTTGTCCGGCGATGTCTAAACAACAAAGCTACGACCTCTCAGCCTGCTCAAACGACAACAAAGCGAATCGTTCTACCTTAGGTAAAGAACATCAAGATGATAGCAAGATTATTCAAACAGCACGGTTTTACAGTGGCTCACAAACCAACCGCCACATTGAGGAGAACTCTGGCGAAACCCAAAGATAGACCTAAAGCACACGAAAGACGAAATGTTGTGTACAAGATAAGGTGTCAAGATTGCGATAAGAACTGTGTGGGTCAGACGGGAAGACAATTATCTCCAAGCATGCAAGAGCATAAGAGAGCTTGTAGGAACCATTACGCTCTCACTGGTTTTAATACTTACAGACGAAGGACATCACTTCGATTGAAACAACGCATAGATCCTAGCACAAGGAGAGACACGAAAAGGAAGAGAGTTCTTTGAGGCATGGTACTCCACGAAGCACTCGATAAACATGCACGTCAAGATTGACCCGGTTTACGAAACGCTAAGACGGAGAGAATTAAAACAACTTAAAAACCGTCGAGAGCAGTTAAACGAGCCGTTCATAATGCAGCCGCAAGCGCCTGGACGAAACCATCCTACGGAACGCCAATATCTACCATAGAAACTGGGTAGACGGATGGTCACGGGGAACAGATTGCGAAGGTCAATTCAAAAGTCACTTGCTAATCAATCACAAATCGACGACCAAGTCAGCGGATTACGTTTGACCCAGCAGCGCACTGAGGAAGTCACCTCGTGTGGTGATGAAACGTTTGCATACCAATTGCGAAGCTCGGCGAACAGTTGAAACCAGGAACGATCATCCCGGGCTACTAGTGCATCGTGTTAAGTGCTTAGACATTACATGCTACAAAAACTAAAAATTTACCTTAATGCTTAAATCATGTTATCATTTGCGTTCGGGATTGATGTTGCAGTGGGAAGCGAAAGGGAAGGGGCGGGCATCGAGATTTGCAAAACAAACGCTATTAAATATATAAATAAGTTGTACATTCTTTGACGATGCGAAGTACTGTTCCCCGAATGGAGCAAGTCATGCTATTGCGTTAATAATTGTTTTATGTACGAGCACAATTTCTTCGTGACACGAAGTAATCATTATTGTTGTGCTGTACTTCTTCTTCTTCTTCGCAGTCAGATGACAGGTATTCCTGAGGAGAAAATTATTAACTCATATGGGCAGTGGTCCAAATTGTTCTGTGCATGTGTTTTGAAGAGGTATTCAGGCACCGTCGATACTGTTCTCGAAAACGTGATCTATAGATTGTGATGTCCCAAACATGCTACTCACGTTTTGCATGGTTAACTGCTTACTAATCGCAAGCTTATACTCGCGCAATGTACAGCATGTTCTCATATCTCTCGGAAATCTGTTCCAAATCTTCTTTTATCGGC